CGCGTTTCCCCGAAACCTACGACCTACTCAGAAAGTCAGTGGCCGACATAACACACCCTGAAAATCAGACCTAGTGTAGTGATGGCTAACCTTTTTGTTGTGGCGTGCTGAAAGGGCGCACGACAGCATGCGTGCGCCCACCCATAATGCAATGTGCGTGCAACACCCTCGTGTGTACCCCCCCTGTCCATGTGCGCCAGTGGCGGGTTTAAATTTTTTTAGAACCTCTTCTGTAGCCACTCCTGCTTTGTGGGAGTGGCCTGCCAGTCATGTGACCAGGTGGGAGTGGCTTGGCAGTCATGTGACTGGGTGGGCGTGGCCAATGTAAAACGTGGTGAAACTCACTTAGCAACGCTCTCGCTTAGCAACCAAAATGTTGGCTCGGGAACTCTGGCATTTGAAGCACGCAAGTCTTAAAGCTGTCAAGTTACAAGACCCTTGCACTCCTTTAGAAAAAAAAACCCCAGGGGTGTTCAAACTTGACAGCTTTAAGACTTGTGGACTTCAACTCCCAGAATTCCTCCTCTTGGTCTGCATCTTGATGATGTGCAGACGGGTGGGGGGAGGAAGCTGGAACCGGTTCTACACGGCACAGTAGATTTGTGGAACCTCTTCTATAGAACAGGTTAGAACTGGCAGGAACCCACCCCTGATGTGCACGTAACCCACCTGCACTCCTCTGCCTCCTGTAGCTGTGTGCACATACCCGGTGTCCCATTTTGGGCCTGCAGCCTTCTGGGACCAAAAATGGGGTGCAAGGAAAGTGTGCCACACCCCCCCCCCCTCATGCATCTCCCCCTCATGTCCACGCTTGCGCAGCAGAGACCCAAAAATCAGCTGGCCAGGGGGAGGCACATGCGCATGCACTGTGGAGCTGAGCTGGGGTGAGGGTGTCCGTAGAGAGGGCTCCACATGCCACAGGTTTGCCATCAAGGACCTAGTGCCTTTTTTTTGGTGGCAAAAAAATATAAGACAGGGTCTTATTTTGGGGGGAAACACAGGTAGGATGCCAGAGAACATTTCTTTTAGCGGCTTTTTTAAAAACATGACGGTGGAATGAGGGACAAAAATCATCAAACCCGGTATCGGTGTTCCTCAATTTCAATCTTTGAGAGAGGAGGGGGTCTTGACGTCAAGATGACAGGTGCCATGTTGAGAAAGACCAAGGGTCTCCAACCTTGGCAACTTTTAAGACTTGTGGACTTGAACTCCCAGAAGCAAAGCTGGCTGAGGAACTCTGGGAGTTGAAGTCCGCAAGTCTTAAAAGTTGCCAAGGTTGGAGACCCTTGGTCTTTCTCAACATGGCACCTGTCATCTTGACGTCAAGA